GAATGATCATTAATCATGTATATATTAAACAACAAGCATGTCAAATAAAAAAAAATATTTCCATAAATTTATTTTACTTGTCAAGTGGGTAGTGATTTATCATAAATTTATAAAAGAATAAAAGTTATAAAACACAATTTTATTTTTTTAAGAAAGGTTTATTTGACTTTTAAAAAAGAATAGGACCTATTTAACTTTTTTTCAAAAGTCCAGGGGGGTGAGTGTCCCCTTGCACCCCCTGGCTGCGTCCCTGGTTAGCACCATCCAGCCGGGGAAAAAATGTCAGTCCTGACATTAACATCCAAGAGCTAGCTATGTTATCTAGACTGAAAGAAACTATTTTCTCTGATAAAAATTGGTAACCATTCTAGATATAGTGAAAAGAATTTATTAATGTAACTGAATCCAACCAAGATTACCTGGAAAAGGGGACTCATTCCTAATAACACGTGACAAATCAAAGTTAACACCCTTTATCTGGGGATACTTGGAGACTATCGACTTAAGAGTTGTACGCACCCCACCACCAACATCTACCAGCTGCTCTAAACCCTCAAATCCCTTGTAAGTTGCTAAAACCTTTTTCATGACTAGGGAACTGATGTTGCTCATTATTTTATTCAAGACGTTATTCATTTTCTCATCTTTCTTAGCGTACTCAAACACCGGCATCCCAAATGCCTTCTCAAACGGTACACCACCATCAATTACTGCCTCTTTTAAGTAACACCTGCGTTGAAGAAGAGCACTTTTTCTTATGATTGTCGTCTAATAGAATCATAAATGTTTTCAAGTAATAAATAAAAATGCACTGTTGGGATTTAGGAAGAAGAAACCAATTAACCTACCAATGATCAATGCTACATTTTTCCATGTGGAACTGTAGGGAAGGGAGCAAAAGAAATTTGGTCTTCATCTTGAAGGAAGTATTTGTTGGGATTTTTTATCAAAGAAAATGGGGAGGAGACCGAGAGGAAGATGATGAAGAGCAGAGCACATAAAATGGAAAGAAGTATATGACTTCAACTCAATTTTTTTCATTAACAAACTCTCCTATTTATAGGAGAATACAATCTTTAAACAATTCAAAATTGAAACAACTATTTTACATTAAAAAACAATAAATATACATTTGAATTTTGAAATGAGTAACAGCCACTCTTGCTGCAGCATGCTTGCGTCCTTTGCAGCCTCTTTGCAGCTCTGTTGCCTCTTGGCAGCTCTGCAACCTCTTTGCAGCCCTTCATTTGCATTTGCATTTGCATTTGTATTTAATTTGTTGTTCATGGCAGCCTCATTTCATCAACATTTGCAGCTTAGCTTGCTGCACATTTTTGCTGTCATTTGACAGCTTCATTTCCCTCATATTTGCAGCTAAATTGCTGCCATATTTGCGGAAAATTGCAGCTTCATTTGCTGTCAATTTTCAGCCTCATTGCTGCCATTTCATGGCAGTTTCAATTCATTATTTCTACAGATTTGAATGCCACGTTTCTAGCAATAATTCCAACACTCCTCCTTGGCATCAAAGCTACAAAATCAAAAACAGAAATAGATTTATACCTAAGCACCTGGGATCAGCCCTTTGCTATCCATCTTATGCTTGGTTTTCACCATTTTTTTTTTCATCACAGCCATGTACCATCCTTCTCAAATAACCTCAGCTCCTCCTTCATTACAGCTTTCCTTCTTTGGATTTGCTGCCTCAAACAAATTTTGGAGGTTTTGCAACTAAATTGCTTTTTCTGAGTAAATAAAACAAGGAATTGGTACCTCAAAGTGATGCTTGATCATCTCCCACATCTT